AGCAGAGAGAGTTCATGCACAGATGAGCAGCAAAAAGCCATCAGCAGTGACGGGGACTCAGGTGGCGAGCGCGGGAGGAAGCCGGCTGCTCGTGGACTTGTATGAAAATGCAAATATCAGATCATCTGCTCTGCGGCACATCCCGTTAGAGCTAATTTGATGTTGAAGTCGCTTTGGTAGGTTTTGACCCACACGCGAGAGGTTCGAGGACAAGCACGAGGAAGTGGAGGTGAAATTTAGCATCTCCTGACATTTGGAGCCTTTTCTCTTCTTTACGCGGGGGCGGTCTGCTCCGTGGACTTGCTCTTTTCCTTCCTGTTCCCACCAGGGAGCCGGCAGGAGCTGCTGGACGCTGAGCAGTAGGAGGTGAAGTGCCTACGAACCACAAGGTGCTCTGTTTCCTCCTCCATTATTTATCACTTCCAGCCTCCTCTTCATTCAAGCGCTACGTGAGGCTCTGTGTCCAGCGAGCGCCTCGCTTTCATCTCTTGCAGCCCGGCAGATGCTCGCAGAGAGGATCGCAGCTCCTGCTGCTGCTGTGCAGCTCACGGGGAGCCTCTGTGAAGCTCCAAGTCTTTTGCTAAAATGAGCTCGGTTTAACGGCCAGTGTTCGGGACAGTGTGCCGAGCTGTCTGCGACACCAGGGGCTGAAACGCTCAGTAAAGGGTTTTTATTTGGTGGCACAAAGAACCAGCACGGAAATAAATGCAACACCAACACAGATGAAAATTTCAGCTCTGATAATTAGTTCAGATTTTTGGATGAAGCATCTAAAAAGAGCTCAGACTTCATGGACCGTCTGCTAGCATGAATGACCTCACAGCAGCCGTATTATTGGTCACATGATGCCATTAAAAATACTCCAAAAGGCTCCAACAGCACAAACGCGACCCAGACGTCCAGTTCAGGGACTCCAGTTAGCTGAGGTGAAGCCTAGCAGACCACTAGCACCTACAGCCACCTGTGTCACCGCCCACCTGTCAGTCAAAGAGGCCACGCCCCTAACCCCTAATTGGTGGTGAGACCAGTGTCTGTATCAGGCTGTAAACGTGCTTCTTTCTGATGTAAAGTTGCACATTTTAACACCGACTCTGTTTTTGGCACTTCGGTGTTGTGCTTCCTGTTTCCAGCCCTCTAACTGGCTGCTTGGTTGACATACTGGTGGAGCTAACTGGTGGAGCTTCCAACTGAAAATGCTGCAGCAATTTGGCAGCTTTTTAAAGTATGTGATGAGCAGAGAAGGTGAGATATAAATGATGTGGCACAGCTCTTGGAGAAAGACTCAGATGTCTTTACATCTGTAGT